CCAGGATATCTCGGCAACTACTAGACACAATGCCCTATATTCTGCCTCAGCATAGGACAAAGCAATAGTAGGTTGTTCCTTGGATTTCCAAAAGACAGGACAACCACCAAGAAAAAGGATAAACCCACTAACAGACCTCCTCGAATTAGCACAACCAGCCCAATCAGAATCACAAAAGCCTTTCAGAGAAAAATCAGAATTAGCAGAGAGAAACAACCCCAAATTACGTGTTCCAGAAAGATACCTCAACACATGGAAGGCTGCATCCAAATGAGGAACTCGAGGAGAAGACATAAATTGTCTTAGGTGTTGGACTGTGTAGGATAAATCAGGCCTAGTGCGTTGAAGATAGTTCAGTTTACCCACAAGTCTTCTGTAGAGGGAAGCATCAGGTAACAACTCACCCACATCAGTGATGATAGACTATAATTACGTATTTTAGTCGCTTATTACACTCTAATTTACTGCACTTTAATTGAGTTTGAGCTTTCACCGCTAGTATTTTGCACTAATTGTGTGTTTTATGCCTTGTAGGAGTGATTCCGATCTATGTGGATGCTATGGAATGAATTCAACTGATTTAGAGATTTGAAGTCTGAGTAAAAGCTCAAGGAATTAAGCCGGGATCGTGTTCGGGGATCAACGGATGATAGTTATAACGAACGAAGAATCGAGTAGGCGTATTGCGCACTGTCTAGTAAAATACACATAACTTTTTGCTCAGAACTCCATTTGGGCTCCACAATATATGGTTGGAAAGTAACTCAAAGGGCTACAACTTTCATGTTTTACATTTTTTCAAATTTCAAACGGAACAGGGTGAAAAATGCGGTCGAAACCGAGACCGCGGACCTGGACGCGGACTGAGGCAGTGCACTGTGAAAATACCGCGCCCGGACCGCGACCGCGAGCGTCCAGACCCGAAAAATTGTCCTTTTTCGCGTAGAAGAAGGTATAATTGTTTGGGCCCGGCCCTACTTGGTATATATACATGAAAAAATGGTATTTTGAGAGGGTTGGACATACTTTTGACATAATTTAGACCTAAGGAGATCGGGATTCGACCTAAGGAGGCAAGAACACATTAGGAGCAAGGCGGAGAATTCTTCCACGAGTTTTTCATTTCCTTCTTCCTATTTCCATTGTTGGTTATGAATTTGAGTATTGTGTTTTCATCTACTTTTATGAATAACTAATTTGTTATCTAGGGTTTTGATGGAACCTTTTGGAGGATGAATTCTTGTTATGTTTTTATATAATTGAGCCGTTGGATTTCTCTACTTGTTTAACTACGTGTTTGTTGCTGTTGATTAAATGGCCATCGATTGACTGTGCCTATTTAGTGTGTACTGCTAGAGAGAGAGTACATATTTAGGTAGTTGTTGAATAACATCACTCCTAACGTATTTGAGAGATCAATACGGAGGGTTTAAAGGCGGGATTAGAGATAACGAAACCTTGGTGCGATCATAGTGAACAGTGAATTAGTGCTAGCTAGTATAGTTCGAGAGAATACATCTAGTAAATTGTGATAGTTGCTCGAGAGAGAGCTACGATACTCAGAGTACTCACGATCGGTAGAGAATACTTAGGCGAAATTATAGAAGACGTAGCGGGAAGGATTCTGACAATTAGGGAAATCATGACTCTAGACCTCCTAATCTTTTCTCCAACCCTTAGTATCCCTAGTTTTTAGTTTACTTCTTTAATTTGTTAGTTAATTAGTTAGACATAAAAATCTTAATATTATAACTTAGGAATTGTTCGAGCTTGTATTTTTAGTGATATTAAACAGATATAGCTAAGCCTTAGTTCTCTATGGGATTCGACTCCGGACTTTTAGACCGGATTATATTTGCAGTGAGCGCTTATCCTTTTTAGGACTAGAGTTGGGCGTGACCAATCAACAGATAACTTAATATGAGGATCAAGAGGTGCTACCACAGGAGAAACATCAGAATAATGAAACTCAGAAAGTAAATCCAAACTAAATTTATGCTGGCTGATGAAAAACCCAGAAAACTGCCGAACAATTTCCAAACCAAGAAAGTAGTGAATTTTCCCAAGATCTTTGATCTTGAATGCAGCATCAAGAAAATGTTTAAGACTAGTAATTTCAGCCAAATCATCCCCAGCAACCAGAATATCGTCAATATAAACAGCAATTACACCATTCGCTAATTTTGCAAACAAAGAGTAATCATTTAGGCTAGGAAGAAAATCTTTAGACTGAAGTGCTAAAGACAACTTAGCATACCACTGACGTGAAGCCTACCTAAGTCCATAAAGAGACTTATTCAAATTAAAGACTAAGGTGGAAGAAGTAGAACTAGCAACAGAAAGCCCCTGAGGAATCTTCATGAAGACCTCCTCATCCAAGTCCCCATGCAAGAATGCGTTATTAACATCTAACTGAAAAACCATCCAATTTCGTTTAATAGCCACAGAAAGTAAACATCTAATAGTGGTAAGTTTCACTACAGGAGAAAATGTTTCAGTAAAATCAACACCCTCTGTTTGACTGTCTCCCCTAATGACCAACCTAGCTTTATACCTCTCAAGAGAACCATTAGCTTTCTGTTTGATTTTATACACCCATTTTCAAGGGATGGCCTTTTCCCCAGGAGGAAGTGGGACAATGTCCCAAGTGTTATTGGCCTCTAGATCCTGAAACTCTTTCATCATAACATCCTGCCAATTGGTATTAGAAGCTGCCTGATGATAGAATTGAGGTTCTAGCAAACAAAAGTCATCAGAGGAGAGAGAGGTCTTAGACTTAGACACAGAGGTGCATACATAGTCTTTCAAGTAAGCAGGAGTGGTATGAACTCCAGTGGATTTCCTAAGGGGAGGTAAAATATTAGAGAGGGATGCAGAAGAAGGAGTCTCGGTGCAAGGTATATGATTTGAAATAGGGACAGGAGTAGAAACAGAAGAAGAAGGTATAGCAGAGGGAGAAGCATAGGAAGAAGGGATATCCCAGGGAGAGATAGAAGGAGGAAACAAATGAACAGAAGATGGATCTGAAAAAGGAAAAAGATGTTCATGAAAAACTACATCTCTCGAGTGAAATATGGCTGAAGAAGAAAGGTTAAGGCGTTTATAAGCTTTCTTCCCAGGACTGTATCCAATGAACACAGAAGAGATGTTCCTAGATTTAAACTTATCTCTATAAGGTTTTGGCACAGCAACAAAAGCTAAGCATCCAAATGTTTTCAAGTGAGTGACAGAAGGAGGAACACCATATAAGAGCTCAAAAGGGGATCTGTTATCCAATAAAGGGGAAGGGAACCTGTTTATCAAGTGGCAGTTAAGATACATTCACACCAATATTTGACTGGCAATTTGGACTCGGGCAGTTTCTAATAAGTGTTTGTGATTCCTCTCCAATACACTATTTTGTTGAGGTGTGTGTGGACAAGAAATTTGGTGTAATATCCCATGAGAAGAAAAAAAAGAAATGGCTACAGAACTACTGCCCAACTCAAAGGCATTATCAGACCTAATAATTTTAACAGGACAGCCAAACTGAGTCTAAACCATATGTATGAAAGTTTTGAGTATAGTAAAAGCATTTGCCTTAGAGGATAAAAGATGGGTCCAGGTTGCCCTGGTAATGTCATCTACAAAGGTAATAAAGTATTTAAATCCATTATAAGTATGGGTATGGTATGGTCCCCAAAGATCAACATGCACTAGTTGGAAAGGAGTGGAAGAACGAATGCTGCTTTCAGAAAAAGGTAGCCTCTGCTGCCTTGCCATGGGACATATTGGGCACATAAAGGTTTGCTTCTTAGGTAGCTTATCAGATAGGAAAGGAACTGATTTCATTTTAGGAAAAGGCATATGACTTAATATTAAAGATAAAGCAGAAGGTAAATCATTTCCAGAAACATCAATTAACGAATTGGCAGAACTAGATTGAAAACTGCTCTTATTAGAATCATTAATGATGGCAGTTATGGTATTTACAAGTGAAGAATCACAGGAATCAATAGGTGAAAGATTGTCTGAATGCAAGAGGTATAACCCCTTTTGAAGTCTACCAAGAACCAGTGGCTTCTTAAGAAAAGACTCATGCAACAAGATGCAAGCAAAAGGAGAGAATAAGGCATAACTACTAAAGATGAATCAATAATTCAGAAAGAGAGATCAAATTGTAATAAAACGAAGGTATAAGCAAAACATCTGGAAGAGATATATCAGAAGAGAGGGAAAGGGTGCCAGTACAAGTTACCTTAACCTTGTAACCATTAGGGAGATTTACAAGATAAGGAAAAAGTGAAGTTTTAATATCTCGAAGGAGTGATTTGTGTGGTGTCATGTGATTTGTAGCACCCGAGTCTATAATCCAAACACTACTCTCTATCCTAGACACATTGCAAGAAAGAAAACCATCAGAACGAATATCAGCAGAAGCTAGCATACCTGCAAAATTTGCAGATTCTGAAACCAACTCTTGAGGGGCAGATGACACCTTTGTCTGCTGAATGAGAGAAAGGAGATGCTCATACTGCTCCTTAGTCAGCATACTACCTCCAATATCAGCCTGGATCACCTTAGGACCATTTGCGCTAGAACCCTCAAAATGACCCATCATTTGAGAATCAGACATTTGAGCATAAGTGGCAAATCGCTTGAACTTTGTCCCAAAACCAGGAGGGTAGCCATGTAACTTGTAACATCGGTCAATCGAATGGCCTGGTTTCTTACAATATTTGCATATGATGCTGGAATTGGGTTTTTTAGTAGTGTCAGAATTAACTCTTTGAGTGTAGGGTTTCTGAATGGTGGGAGGAAGAAATTGACCATAGGGGTTCTGTACAGTAGTGGAAAAAGAGGCAGACTCAAAACTAAAAGAAGGAGCAGAAGTTTGGACCTCAGCCTGACTTTCATCTTCAATAAGCATTGTATATACACTGTCAATATCGGGGAGAGGCTTCATCATCAAAATGTTCCATCTGACATTAGAATAGGACTCATTCAGCCCCATTAAAAAATTAGTGAACTTTCTGGTCCTCCTCTAATTTCTGAAAACCTTCCTTACATCCACAAACACAAGGAGGGTAGGTGATGGAGAAAACCATTTTATCCCAAAGCTTTTTGATCCTACTGAAATAGGAGGCTATGTTGGATGAACCCTGAGAAATTGAAGATATTTCCTTGCGTATTTGAAACACTTTAGTTCCATTTGGCTTTCCATAACATTGTTCGATCTCCTTCCATAGTTTTTGGGCAGATTCAGTATACATCACGCTTTCTCTAATTTCTAAATCTAGGCTATTTAGAATCCAAGCTGTAACCATGTCGTTGCACCGACACCAAGCCTCATATAGAGGCGAATCCGCACTAGGCTTAGCAACCGTCCAGTTGATTAAACCGAGCTTGTTCTTACAAGAAAGGCCTATGAGCATACCTCGACGCCAACTTCCATATCCTAATCCATTGAAAGTACTGGCTACAATAACAGTATCAGGAGAATTTGATGGATACAAATAGAGAGGGTGGGACGGCTCTACAGTTGACGATGAAAACTCAGAAGTTGTAGAGGTACTACTCACGTTCGAAGAATTACCAGTAGTACTCATCTTTATGTCAAATTAGGGTTTCGAAATGTAAAAAAAAATCAGCATTCAATCAACTGATTTGCGAGGCAGACTAGAAGAGAACAATACCAGACTTCCCAACAGGGTGAAGAGAAAGGAAAAATCTGAAAGAAAAACTCAAATGTTATCGTCGCCGGAAAATCGAAAAACTGCGATTCAAGCCGCAAGGGTAACACCGGAAGAATCGCAACACAACTATCTATCGAACTCCAGGCTCTGATACCATGTTGACAAACGGAATCAAAATCTCTGTGGAAATTTCCAGAAGCTAAACCCTAAGAACATGATTAGGAAAAAAATCGCGGAGAGAGAGAAACATCTAAGCTTTTATTGATATTCTGTTTTTAGAAAAATGAATATTACATCTGTACAAAAATAAAATCCTCTGTTATATACAAAAGGAATATAGTCGGGTCGGGTCAATCATTTAATAGAAAAGATCCGTGTACAGCCCAGTTATGGAGGCCTTGGTCTTAGGCCGATATTACTCTATTGGGCTGCAACTGAACACTTTGGAGTTCAACACTACTAGCATGATATCATTCTATGGCTGGATATGTTACTTCCAGATAGCAGTTGAGAGGAATTTCACAAGAGAGCGTAGGAAAGAGCATGTTGAGGCTAGACTGGGACTACAAAAGTGTGGCTAAGGCGAGGTAATTAATTTAAGTTCTTGCACTTGTGTATATTGATGTGGAGATTCCTGTGATTCCAAGCCGCTGTGTTTTTTCAATTTTGTTAGCTGTATATGCTAGGCATTAGAATTACAATCTTTTAGCAGGTTGATATGAGCTTACACCTATTTGTGTAATATTCTTCGAAGGCTTAAAGGATTTAGTTTTTACAATAGATAGAGACGTTTGAATCTGTGTTCCCTCCATTAGACCTCTTTAGTATTTGTCTCTTGATACTTGAGTTTGAATTTTCATAGCCCTACAAAATAAAAACACGTCCGAAATGCAGGAAGTCAGTTTACAGTTCAAGTCAGTGTTATCAAAGGCGAAAAGTGAAAAAAGCTCTAAGGTCCGTTGGGGCTTTAAGCGCAATGCGCAAATAAAGCGTGGGCTTTAATGAAAAAAGGCGCAACTGGAGAAAAAGTACAAATATATATATACGTAGTCCAAGACCAATAATTATAAGCATGAATGTCACGACCTAAAAACCGACCCGGTCGTGATGGAGCCTATCGTAAAACTAGGCCAGCCGACACAATTCCCGAAGTCAATCAGTATTCAATAAAAGTCATTTTTAAGCCATTAATTAATCAATAATCTCATAATGTAAGTCTAAATGAACAGTGCGGAATAAATACACAAGCCCGACATCGGGGTGTCACAAGTCACGAGCATCTACTAAGGTCTGAATACAATGAAGAGTCTGAAAATATACTATACCAATCTAAGGAAGACAAGAGGGAGAAAAGCAATGCTGCGAACGTCGGGCAGCTACCTTGATAACTCTAATGACTCTGCCACTGAGCAATTAACACCCGCTACCGGGTTCAGAACTACCTGAATCTGCACACAAGGTGCAGAGAGTAATGTGAGTATGCCAACTCAGTAAGTAATAAAAGTAAATAAAAGCCGAGCAGTAAGAAAACACGTAAGCCACGTCATAACGCTACAGCGAAAGCAGTACATTTCCAAAATAATACAGAAATCATTTACTTCGTAAATCTGCTCAGTTTTGGTAAAATCTTTTAAAACAACTTTCAATAGTTTCAAACGAGTGATAAAACAGTGAGTAAAAATGATAGAAACGTAAACAGCCCTTCGGGAAAAACATGTACCATAAATCGCCCCTCGGGCATAATATCAACAGAACCAGCCCCTCGGGCTACCTCACAATCACTCGTAATCAGCCCCTCGGGCATAACGTGAATCAAGAACCGCCCCTCGGGCAACATGGATTAAGGACAGCCCCTCGGGCAACAATAAGAAATAACAACAGCCCCTCGGCTACAACACATCACTCACACTGGGTACCCGCGCTCACTAGGGGTGTACAGACTCCGGGAGGGACCCCTTACGGCCCAAGTGCAATAACAAGCCATCTCGTGGCATAATCAAACAGGCTCTCGGCCTCATATCAATCACAAGCCACCTCGTGGCATAATAAGTCAGGCCATCGGCCTCTCATATATCACAAATCAGTACCGCATGCTGCAGCGCGTAGCCCGATCCCATGATATCCTCACAACACAGGCCCTCGGCCTCACTCAGTCAGATCTCACTCAAGCCCCTCGGGCTAATAGTAAAACAAGTACTCGGCTCAAAATCATTTATGAAATCAAAAGGAGTGAATAAAATCGAGTTTTGAAAACAGTAAGAACATGGCATGACTGAGTCTAAACATTAAACAAAAATAGTAAGGTAAAACAGTAGTAAAATCCCCTAGGGGTCCAAACAATCGGCACAAGGCCCAGACATGGCATTTAGCCCCAAACACAATAATATTTTCCAAAATATAACAATATCAAATAGTTTTCAAGTAAAATACGCGACTTAATAGTCGTACGGGATGGACCAAGTCACAATCCCCAACGGTGCACGATCCCACGCTCGTCATCTAACGTGTGCGTCACCTCAAAGTAGCACAACGATGTGAAATCCGGGGTTTCATACCCTCAGAACAGTATTTACAGTCTTACTTACCTCAATCTGGTCAAAATTCTAGCCCGTAGTGCCTTTGCCTCTCGAATCAGGCTCCGGATGTTCCAAATCTATCCAAAACAGATTTATACCATCAAAAATATGCTAAGAAACAAAGCCCACTCGAAAATAACCAATTTATACCAAAAATGCCGAAATTGGCCAAACCCGACCCTGGCCCACGTCTCAGAATCCGATACAAATCGTAAAACTAGAATCGTTACACTCTCACGAGTTCATACATATCAAGTACATCAAAATCCGACCACAAACGGCCCCTCAAATCCCTAGATTTAGGTCTCCAATTTCCAAGCCCTAACTTCCAATTTGCTACGTATTTTCCCATATAATTCAGGCTTACAACCTTAAAAATCATCATAAAACGAGTTTAGGGACCAAGGACCTTACCTCTAAGAAGCCTTCTTGAATTCTCCCTTCAATTAGCTCTCCAAAGCTTCTTCCCGTTTGAAATGTTATGAAAAACCACTCAAAATCGCGAAGGGTGAAATAAACATATTCTGACCCAGCAAAACCGCGCCTACGGCTAAATGGTCGCATCTACGCTACCGCTTCTACGGTCAAAGCACCACTTCTGCAGTTACTCATTTAAGTCCCATTTTCGCACTGCGACCCAGGCTCCGCATCTGCGGGCTCACAGGTGCAGATCACATCCCGCATCTGCGCCTTCTCTTACTTCGCCTGAGGCCGCTTCTGCGGCTCCGCAGGTGCGGTTATGACAACAATAGAAAAACTTCAGCTGCCAAACCCAACTCAAAATCTTCCGTCAACCATCCGAAATCACCCCGAGGCCCTTGGGACCTCAACCAAAAGCACAAACAAGTCATATACCACTATCCACACCTATACCAATCTTCAAAACACCTCAAACAACATCGAATCAACCAAATCACATCGGATTCAAGCCTAAGGTTCCAAAAATCTCCCGAATTCCGCTTTTGATCAAAAAGTCTATCAAACCACGTCCGAATGACCTGAAATTTCGCACATACATCCCAAATGACACAACGGACCTACTGCAACTCCCGAAATTCCATTCCGACCCCTATATCAAAATCTCACCTATCAACCGGAAAGCGCCAAAATTCTAATTTCGCCAATTCAAGCCTAAATCTCCCACGGACCTCCAAAACACATTCCGATCACGCTTCTATGTCCCAATTCACCTAACAGAGCTAACCAAATCATACAAATCCAAATTCGAGATCAAACACTAAAAAGTCAAGACTGAGTCAAACCTTTCAAATTTAAAGCTTCAAGCTGGGAATCATCCTTCCATATCTATTCCGATTAACCTGAAAACCAAAACCGCCGATTTACATTAGTCACCATACATAATACGGGGCTAGCCATGCCCGAGATCTGGCGAGCGAAGTGTAAAAGCTCAAAACTACCGGTCGAGTCGTTACATCCTCCCCCACTTAAACATACGTTCGTCCTCGAACGCGCCCAGAGTTGTTCTGAAAACCATCAATCGCTGAGTAACCTTACCATGCACATACCTGGGGGTCACCCTATCTCATATAGGTCCGACTACACAATGTAACTGTAATTCCACAATCCAACCTAGCCCATAAACCTTATAACCACATTTCCACTTCTAAAATCATCCACAAGATCGGAATCTCACATCTATACTCTGAATAATCCCGAACAAGTTGTAACAAACCATATATGCAACCTCTGATGCAATTACATGATATACCACATAACTCAAACACTCATAGCGATAACTTCTAATCACAGCAGTTGCTCAAAACAACCGAATATCGATAATAAGCCTCTTATCAAATAAAGCCTCATTCCAACACTTTCATGTACTGCCAATGATTAATGAAACACGTAGAGAGTCATAACCATTCCTCATATCAACCATTCGTGAATCCACTTCTCATTTGGCAAGGACCATAGCAAATTTCTGAGGCGAACATCGATATTATCCTTCCAACACGCTGAAACTGAATCCGTTTGTATTCATTCTAGATCCCAGCTGTTGATACCCAATTTTTCCCTGTATATTTTTTTATATGCAAAATACTTTCAAAATAGCATATGTATGCATATATAAGTGTGTCCAAATGTTTCAATATTTTTTCTAATTTTTAAAAGATTTTTAAATCGATTTATTGCCCTATTTTAGCAGTATAAAAACCAATAATTATTCCTCAAATTATCATTTTGGTGATTAATTTATATTATTCTCATATTTATCCCAAAATATAGCTAAGGTGATTTTCACACATTTTTACAAATTTATTTCGTATTTTTAAAGCTAAATTGCATATAATTGTAATATTAGCCTATTTTAAGAAT